TGTGATGAGTGAGAAGAATGCTTGTAGGGGAGAGAATGATTTTTTGGAGAGAATGCGTGTAAGAGAGTTGCGGGAGGAGTCGTGTGTTGGCCCCCGTGGCATTGAGTTGTACTTTTTACGTGTTGTCCGTGTTGTTTCCATATTTTATATTTTGATCAGTTTTAGCTTTATTTTATTAGATACTTATATTTATTCCTAGCTCTCGATTACTCGAGATTCATCCTTTCGTTATTTATACTATAGTAACACTATAAAATTATATTATTGTTTTACTTCAATAACTCGACATAAAGCTAGTACCAGGCATTAGGCAACACAGGAAATGAGATGCACAATTTAGCGAACGCTGGCGACAAGGTACGGTCAATCGCGGAAAGTGGCGAAGTATGGTACAGGTGCGCCGTCGCGAAAGTGTTAAGAATGATTACAATGTGTACAATGATCGATTTCGAGGATATTTTAGAGGGTACGTGGTTGGAATTGTGCGACTCAAGGATTTTGGTACTAGGTGATTGGTAGTTGTTTCTGTTTATCTTTGTTGTGAAGGAGTGAGTGACGCGTGATAGCTGAAGAGGAGTATGTGTGTGAAGGAGGTGATAACGATAGATTTGACTTAACGAAGTTGATAGTGTTGAGAAGTCTGTTGTGGGGTTTTCGTTTGACGGCGGAGAGGTATTTTAATTCGGTGGGTACCGATGACGCCTTTTCGAGGCTTTCGTTGGCTTGGATATGTTGTTCTTTGGAAAATGGAATTTTAGAATTAAACGTTTAAGGTGGGAGTCTTTTTATTTTGATAAGGGATCTTCTGTCGTGTTTAATTGATATACTCGTGATAGGAGCACCAGTTCCTCGAAAAATTTATGATGTAAATTTATTTGATATCATTTTTCTGGTTACACTGTTTCTTCAAGTTGAAAGTTACCTAGAAGAATGTGGGAAAAGTAATCATAGGATATATCTATAGGTACGTATGTAAATGTAGATATCATGTTGAAACACTGTTAAGATTACCTCCTAATCTTTCGCGTGCATTTTTTCCCTTGTTCGTCTGCCACTCGACAGCGCTTGCGTATTTTCGCGAAACAGAAACGATTGACGGCGATAATAAACTCCGAAAAAGGAACATTCATTCGCTGCAACGGAGTGAAAATAGAACGCGGCGAGAAGCTCCGAAAAAATTCCTCTAAAAAATAATGTCGCGGCGCATCAACACGGCTACGTGACGGGCGGAGAGCGAAAACCGCGGCATCCATTCCGATAAAATTAATAACGGCCGGAAGCAGGAATAGTGTCGCGTGATAAAATGACTCCGGTAAAAATTCCCCGATATTCCCGCGGCCCGGATCGCAGCGGCGGTTTAATGAACTGTTTCGAAATTGAAAATTGGAAACTATTTCCGGCCCTTCGCCGGCCGACGTGTCCGCGTAACGAAGAATGTAATCCCCCGGATGGCTAGCGATACCTAGAATCGGCGGCCGGCCAGTTTGTTACGCGGAATACACCGGCTCGAAATATGTTGGTAATTAGAGGAACGTAAGTTTTAATTGCCCGGCCAATTATTCGATTTGCTCCGTATGAATGCGGCGAGTTTCAGTGAAAGACTCGAAATCGAGGGAACGTGACTCGAACAGAAGTTAGTTATCCGCTTTTACTTGTCGAATGTTTTTTCGTGTGTTGCGTTTCTTTTTATCAAACGATTGATACACGATTTCGAAACTCTAGACATTACGCGTGGAATCGGTTTAATGATTTGAATAATTTAGTGTTTAGGATTCGTAAAAACTATATGTTTGATTTTCGAGTGAAAAGTGTCTGATTTTTATAGAATTTCAATTTTTCCACTATTTATATTTAATTATCTCATATATATAAAACTACGTGTTCGTTTATATAGATCGCGAAAATTGAAGCTTCAAAGATAGAGTATTACAATGTGTATTCACATAATTATACGAATTGAAATTGACAAACTGTTACTAGATAATGTTTAGAACATTCAGTATCTGTCAAATTGACAGGTTTCGTAAATCTGGTGTTAAATAACTACGAGTCACACGCAAATCAACACCGAGTTACATGTAATTCTGCCGTATCTATTTCAAGTTTAGACTGTATCTAATTTATTCAAGATATCATTACTAGCTGCCAATATTAATGACCATGGCTATCGCAAGCAATGAATAATTTACGCATTCGAATAGCCAAATCATTTCTGACACCAATTACAATTCTCACATTCACCTGCAACGAGACATTTCCGTTTATTTCTACGTAAAAGAATCTTCCAAATGACGGAAAAATCCTCCATTTTATTTATTCTTTGTTAGGTTGCGCAGCTCGATGGTCCCTGACGCAGGTCCGGCGAAAAGGGAAATTCCTGTGCATCGACCTTATCGCTCTTGACTCTAATTAAAATTGAAATCGTCGCGAACACACCGTGAGTCGCGCGACATTCTTTCGCGGCCCGTTGACGTCCGCGAAAATTGGGTCGTATGTAGAGAGGATTCGTTCGCCGGGAGGATGAGCAGGCCGCAGTTAATTGGGTCATCGTCGCGTCGCGTTTAACGAATGTTTAATTTGTCTCGTTACGAAGCCGGCTCGTGATTAATTTCGATTAACAGCGATGGTGGACCTCTGCCGCGCGCGCCGGCCTCGTTAGGACAGCGTTCGGTAATTTTGCTTTCGACGATATGACGGTTGGCCGTCGATACTTCTTGGCTGCGAACGGCGATTAAGCCATTCAAATATTGTATTACGTGTTCGACTTGTAACATTATCGGAGACTGTAGGAAATCGAATAAGTTTCTACTGTATTGAACGGTGGAAAGTTGTAACTGAGATCATTGAGAAGGGAATTAGTAGATTTCATGCAATTGTCTGAGAAGTTTGAGAACTGTGGGAAGAAATTTAGAAGATTAATGGATTTTATGTAACTATTTAATATGTTTGAGAAGACAACTGTTTAAAGAATTGATTTAACAGTTTTTTAAAAAGTTATTTCATTTTTTAGGGAAGATATTGCGAGTTAATATATCATTTATAGACATCTGAGTAATCTAAGCAATCTAAAAAAGAAATCAATGGATTACAAGTAGTGATGGTATATCAATGGTCAGACACAATGATACTCAATACAAAATGAAACTAAAACGTGGTCCAGTATCGATTGCAGAACCCCGAAATTCACACGATTCACGATACAATATAAAAATTATCCAAAGAAAAATACACCAACAGCGAGTAGTAACAGTGCACCACTGCTCAGCCACGTTAAACTTCCATCTGCATTTCATCCTCGACAAACGCGCCAGCGAAGTGCCTCGAGCAACAAATAAGCTCACATTAAAAACCGCCGAAAAACCGTTAAAAGAGAAACACCGCAGCCAATAAATCCAAAGCACACCGAAGCCACGAATTTATTTTACAATCATCCGCGGACTGAATTCCATTTCTGTCGACCAGAACAAACCGAGGAAAGATCAATATGATAAAAGTGAAACGTAAAAAGACAGAGAGAAGTCTTTCCCGGGTAACACGCTCGCCGGAGGCAACTGTCCGCGTTCGAAAATGAAACTAACAGTAGATTAAATTTACTTTTCACCCGTGGAACGGGGATGATCGAAATATATAAGGGGAACGATGTGTCTGTTTTCGTCGTGTAAAGGTGACGGGAAGCTATCCCATTCAAAGCTCCCGTTAATTGACAATCAATGACAGGTATCATTGCGTCCGATTCCCGATGTAGCCGGATCGGGAATCACGAATATAGGAACCTATTGTTAATTCTGTCAGGTTTCCCCGTTCATACCGCCGGTTTCCTATGTTTATTCATTTTCATTTCTTCCTCTTTCTCCTGTCCGTCCGAATTTTTCCTCCTCCTCCGCCGGCTTCGGCCGCGCTGTTTTCGGTTTTTGCGGGGCGAATTTCCGCGGCGACCGGGGTAATAGAATTCGTTTCGTTATCTAAGCGACGCGAAATCACTTTTCCAATTTCGTAAGTGAATTGTACCGGGTTTTGTCGGACCGTGGATCAACGATATTAAATCTCGCAGCCGAATACGGACGAGCCCGAAATTTCCTGTAGCATTCCCGCAATGATGAAATTTGCGTGTCGCGCATATAACCTTTCCTGCGAACCCCAGCCTCCCACCTCCGCCTCCTCGTCCTTTGTGGACCGCGCTTTTCTTGTAATATTTTTTGAAACCACGAACGTAAACCTTGGACTGTTTTTTCTAGTGTTTCGTGTTACTGCATTATTCAATATTTCTTTTTCAAACGGAGAAATATAAAAGAATAGAATTATTCGTAACATGTCGGTACATTTGAAAGATGCTTGTTTAGTTTTTATGAATATTCAGGTCTCCTGAGAGTCGTTCAAGCATTTACAAAGGGATTTTCGAACTCTTCGTGCGAAAATGTTTCATTT